AAAAAAAAAAAGAAAAGAGTTTTAAGTAAAAAAATTTTACTATAGAAATTCTACTCTTGTTATGCAACAAAGGCCTGACTCTTGCTCTGATTCTGTTTATAGGATCTAGAATTAACCATGGCTTTCAAGCAGATTCTAGGCTGGGTCACAACTCTGTCCTCTGAAGCTGTTTAGTTTGTCAAGTCTTCCATTGGTTTCTGTCTTTACCACCCTTGTCCTCAACTGACCAGTCTTCTTTGTGCTATTTTAGGCCAGGGTATGAGAATTCATATCAGGGCTATCACTCTCCCACAACGAGGGAGGAATATGCTTATGGAAGTTACTACTATCACGGACACCCGCAGTGGCTGCAGGAAGAAAGAGGTATGGAAAGGTCTCCAAGAAGCCTCTGGGATTTGGGGATGGGGCAGCTGGTCTGAGAGGCAGGGGAGAGACCGACGGAGCCATGTTCAGACCCTCACCTTGCACATCTTTTCTTGGCCAGACGAGACCACAGCAGAAACACTCCTCCTCGATGTCCTGAGAAGAGACATAAAGGAGTTGTTTTCCTTTGTTTGCATAGATGATGGTACTGTTACTAGTACTATGGGTAGTTTGCACTTCATCCACATTTTTTCTTCTACTTTGCCTTATAGCCAAGATTATAGTCTTCGACCAAGTAACAGTGAAGTCAGTTCTTAAGGACATCTGCTGGGCTATAGTAGGAGTCTGTCACTTCACCCTGAGGACAGCAGATATGCACCCAAAGGAGTGTTCTCCCCTATACTAATAGGTATAGAGTGTGTCTTAATGGTAGCATCTGAACTGCTAGCAAAGATAAATCTGTTTCAACATTGAACACACACACACACACACCCACCCCCATACACACATGTACACACCAATCCCCATCGTTGTGCGGTTGTATAGATCCACGCTAATTAGTCCAGAGGGGACTGAGAGGCGTCCTATGGACTTTCATCATTAGCTCTCACCTATCTATTTTTTCATTTTGGAAAATATGTTTTTAGATCTACTGTGCTCTAGGTACTCCTCACAGCTCACTAATATCTTTCTAAGAACTTTCAGAAACAGGAAGTGACCTGTCTTGATTCTGTTTTCTCTGAGGGTGCAGTGCCAAGGCAAAGGAGTCCTTATATCTGGCATGAAGATTACCGAGAGCAAAAGTACCTTGATGAACATCATTATGAAAACCAGCACAGTCCATTTGGAACAAATAGTGAGACCCACTTCCAGTAAGTGCAAAAGGAGAGGCCAGTTTGACATGATGTTGTCAAACTCAGACTATGTTGGGCAAATCTTCTGGCGTCTGATGCTGGTCTCTTACCTCCAGAAGCCTGTGTACCTTTGTTTCAGCCACAGGGATATGGGAGTATCCAAGGATGGTCCTGGTCCGCTGTTAATATGGACCCTGGGAAGAGAGATTCTTATCACTGAGAGTCTGTTCCCAAAGCTGGGCAAGTCTGAGTCCTGTGAGGTTCCCTGAGGTCTGTCCTGAAAGAGGACTTTAATTCTGTGTTGGCCTCAGAACAGATATGGCCTAGAAAAAGCTCTCATGATTAGGTCATGAGAACCTACCTGGGGCTGGGGTGCTTCTCCTCAGCCTACGCCTGAGCCCTGAGAATGGGCCATCTCCCCGTGGTAAGACAACACAGGGAAGAGAGTTTTGCCCAAGCATCTGTCCTGGTGCTCGCAGCTCTGGAATTCACCAACCTAAACACTCTGATGTAAGTCATTCCAGAATGTCAGGCTGTAGAGACCAACCCTTCTCATCAGGACCTGAGGCCGCTTCCAGCCACTGAGCTGTGGAACTCAAGCACTCCTGCTTTTCCTGGGATTAGTAGATTGAGGTGGCGAGTGGGAGGAAAATGCTTTCTCCTATGGCACCCAGGCTGACATGGCACCTGACCATGCTTTGGAGCAGGTCAGCTTCCAGCGGAGAGTGCTTCAGCCTTGCTGGCTTGCCCAGGACCCCGCTCACTGCTCCTGTCATTTTGCTGCAGATCTAACAGTAGGAACCCTTATAAAGACAGCCCTGCTTCCAACTCTGGACAGGAGTGGCCCGGGGAGCTGTTTCCAGGGAGCCTGCTTGCTGGGGCCCAGAAAACTAAGGTAACCTAAAGTGACGTGGGGGCTGGAGACTGTGTCCATGTGTCGCAGCTGACACTGTCAGCAGTGGCAGAACAGGGCCCTTGGGGATGGATGTCCAGCGGCCAGCCGTCTGGAGGACCCATTCCTTCCCTCTTGGCAGAACCTCCACCCATGCCTTCCTTTCTTCTCTCCTTACTGCCTCAGTCTTAGGCAACCGAGGCCCTAAACTGAACTCCTTTGCATTTTCAGCAAATTGAGGGGATCGAGAAAGGTCACCCAGCTCACTCCAATACACTGGGAAAGAGAGGACGCTGTCATCCAGGTGTTAGGGACCCCAGGGGACTAGCAATTTGGTTTAACCCAGGAAGAGGGAAGTTGCTAGAATCTTTGAATTCAGGTTTGAGAAGCAGGGCTTGAAACCTTTTCTAACTCTTCATTCATCCCTCTCCTCTAAAAATCTTATTGTATGCACCAGCTGGGCCACAAAATGGAGATCTTTTTTAAAATACACTTTTTATTTTAGAATCATTTTAGATTTGTGGAAAATTTGCAAATATACTACAGAGATGGTTCTTTTCTTTTGAGACAGAGTTTCACTCTGTTGCCCAGGCTGGAGTGCAGTGGCACAATCTCGCCTCACTGCTACCTTCATCTCCTGGGTTCAGGCGATTCTCCTGCCTCAGCCTCCTGAGTAGCAAGGATTACAGGCACCCCCCACCACGCCCAGCTAATTTTTGTATTTTTAGTAGAGACGGGGTTTCACCATGTTGGCCAGGCTGGTTTTGAACTCCTGACCTCGTGATCTGCCCACCTTGACCTCCCAAAGTGCTGGGATTACAGGTCTGAGCCACCACGTTCAGCCAGAGATCGGGTCTTAATTTTGAAAGTCTTGTATTAATCTTGTCCCCCTTATTAGGTTTGTATGATTTTTGAGGTCAATTTCTTTTGTATACTTAGTGCTTAATAGGGTAGGGCACATATGATTATGACTAATAGTAACAATACAATGACAGCAGCCACATACACATGTACAGCACTTTACAGTGTACAAGAGCTTTACTTTTTATTTATTTATTTATTTTGAGACAGAGTCTCACTCTGTTGCACAGGCTGGAGTGCAGTGGCACAATCTCGGCTCACTGCAACCTCCACCTCCCTGATTCAAGTGATCCTCCTGGCTCAGCTTCCCTAGTAGCTGGGACTACAACTGTGTGCCGCCATGCCCAGTTAATTTTTGTAGTTTTTAGTGGAGATGGGGTTTCACCACGTTGGCCAGGTTGGTCTGGAAATCCTAACCTCAGGCGATCTGATCCTCCTGGGTCAGCCTCCCACAGTGCTGGGATTACAGGTGTGAGCCCCTGGCCTGGCCCAAAGAGCTTTTGAATTCATTGTTTTACTTGTATGCACACAAGATGTAAACTCAATGAATTTCTTTCTTTATTTCTTTAGAGACAGAGTTTTGCTCTGTCACCCAGGCTGGAGTGTAACAGCATGGTCATAGCTCACTGCAGCCTTGAACTCCTGGGCTCAAGTGATCCTTCCACCTCAGCCTCCCAAGTCGCTGGGGCTATAGGTGTGCATCACCGTGCCCAGCTAAATTTTTTTATGCTTTTTTTTGTAGAGATGAGGTCTTGCTATGTTGCAATTTGGGGTCTCAAATTCATGGGCTCAAGTGATCCTCCTGCTTTGGCCTACCAAAGTGCTGGGATTACAGGTGTGAACCATCATACCTGGACCCATGAATTTCTTTACACCTGCATCCAAGGGGAAATCATGGCACCTAGAGCATAATAGGTGCTCATTAAACAGTCAATGAATGAGGGCCGGACACGGTGGCTCATGCCTGTAATCCTAGGGCTTTGGGAGGCTGAGGTGGGCAGATCATGTCAAGAGATTGAGACCATCCTGGCCAACATGGTGAAACCCTGTCTCTACTAAAAATACAAACATCAGTTGGCGTGGTGGTGCACCTGTAGTCACAGCTACTTGGGAGGCTGAGGCAGGAGAATCGCTTGAAGGTGGAGGTTGGAGTGAGCTGAGGTGGAGGTTGCAGTGAGCTGAGATTGTGCCACTGAACTCCAGCCTCATGACAGAGCGAGACTCTGTCTCAAAAAAAAAAAAAAAAAAAGTTGATAAATGAATACATGAATTACTTGAAGTATATAGGGCAGATATGATTATATCACAGATGAAAACACTGAGCTCAGAGAGCCTAAGTCACGTGTCCAGGAGCACAGCAGCTGAGTATAAGACAAAGCCGAGATTTGAATTCAAGGGCCCCTGACCCCAAGGCCTCCGCTCTTTCCATTGGGTCATAATATATCCTTTGGCAAATGCCTATCAACTTGATTTTCTCTTTTTCTCCTTTCAACACATCCACTTTCACTGTATGTGTTTTGTTTCTTTGAAGGAACGCTTGAGAAGACCAGCTCTCTGAAACTTCTTCCTATGTGTTTGTATTGTTTTTAACTTTCAGCCATCACTGGCTAGTGAGTCCAACCTTCTCCAGCAGCGTGAGTCTGGTCTCAGCTCCAGCAGCTATGAGCTCAGTCAGTACATCACAGATGCCTCCGAGCGGGATGATCCCCCAGCTTCAGCAGCTTGGAGTCCAGTTCAGGCTGGTGGGTTCTAAAATGATCACAAGAGTTGGTTGAATCTGATGTGGAAAGGCTGGGTGGAAAGTCTCTGGGAAAGTCAGCCTTATGATGGATCATTGTCCACCGCATTTGCTTATGTAGGTCTCTGGGGCAGAGAGGTCAACTTTGGTTCCATTTTCTATCTTTTTGCTTGTAATAGTAATTGCATCATAGCTGATTCCTGGAAGGGAACACTGCCCCTATCCATCATCAGGTTGGGAAAGGAGGCACTCAGTGGTGCTTTTAAGAAAGGGAAGACCAGAGAGAATTAGGAAAAGCAAAAGCAAGACGCAAAGCATCATTGCTTTGTCTGGATGTAGGAACTTTGTCATGAGTATAGAGGCCACGGAAGCCAGAGACTCCTTGGCCTCTCAACATCACTGAGAGTCTGGGCTGAGTGCATTATCATTTGGACTGAATCATCAAGCCCATGCATTGTACTGTGACACATTCTCAGAGGCTTAAATCTGACTGGAGCAGGGAACATGGGCTTCTTCTAATTACACAACCCACCCAGAATCTTATTTTGGTTCAGGCAGAATTTGGGCAGAAATATGTCCGTGGCATATTCCTGAACTAAAGAAAAGTGATGGAAGTAACGCTAACAATGTCCATCTGTGTCTGTTGGTCAGAGGATGTCTCCTCAGCTGGTCCCAAAGCACCCATGAAGTTCTACGTTCCTCATGTTCCTGTGAGTTTCGGGCCAGGAGGTCAGCTGGTGTGTGTAGGTCCCAGCTCTCCCACTGACGGGCAAGCAGCGCTTGTTGAACTGCACAGCATGGAGGTAAAGAAGACCCAGTGTTCCTGGAATGCCGGCACACTGCTTACCTAACTACTCCTAACGTGCTTACCTTGCTTTCCTGTGCCTGAGCTGGGGCATCTCCGGGAATGGGATGCTCTTGTGGAAACTGGGCCAGGTACCCCCTGCATTAGGGGGTGCAGGAATGGGTGGGGCTCTTCTCTGAAAGAATTGATGCTAGAGTTATGTTTTTCCTGAGATGTCAGTGGCTCATCTTTAGCAACAAGATTCACTTTTTTCTTTCTGCTTTCTCCACAAGGCCTTGAGCCACATCCTAGCCCCACGGCCCTGGGGTCTGATACTAGACTTGACTGCAAGGGGCCTAGGGTGGACACAGTCTTAAAGATAAAATCTGATTGTCTTATTGCAGGTTATTCTGAATGATTCCAAAGAGCAAGAGGAGATGAGAAGTTTCTCAGGACCCTTGATTAGGTAAAGTGCTGTAAGAGCTGCTGAGTAAGGGCAATCTTCCTGCTCAGATCAGCATTTTGGAGATATGTTCTTGGCTTCCTTGGGAAAAAAAAGTCCGTCCTTGTTGGAGTGGAATTCTCTGTGCTACAAGATAGAACCAGATGTGGCCTGAGTCATTTTGACAAGCCATTCAATAGTTGAAGGACAGAAAGCAAAATTAGCATGACAGTTTAGAAATCTAAAACCAGTTCCATTTTGCAGAGGCTGCATGGTAGGAAGTTTTAGTGTTCCGTGTGCTTGACAGATGTTAGCAGAAAAGTGGAGCATCGCCTGGGAAGTCCCTGACGAGTGGATCACAGCAGAAACAATTCTTGTGACGGTGGCTTTTTCCTGGAGAGGTAGATAAGATCGGCAGTGTTCAAGTTACGGAACAGTGTGCGAGTGAGCCCTCTGCAGTACTCAGCTAGGACTGCTTTTAAATATTTAGTTATATTCCTGATAAATGTAACTCAGGGCATCTTTGTTGAGGAGAGAGTCCCTGCTGGATGACAGCCAACATGGGTCTCAGGCTTGGGCATCCTATGTACTAGGAATACCATGGTGGACAGGTCAGCCCTCTCTGAACCTTAGTTTCCCCCTGGAAGTGGTATAACACCTGCTCTCCCTAACCGAGGCTTGTCTGTGAGTCTCAAGTGAGATTATGCACATGGAAAGTATCATCACTACTATATAAACGTATTCCTCTTATGGCATCTGACAGTTCCCTCAAGTAAAAATGAGTGTTCTCTCTGTTTCTTACACACGGGTATACAGATACGGGTCAAAAAAGTGAATTGGGTTATTCAAAGACTGGGGTACTAAGCCTAACTTGGCTTTGATGTTATTGGATGATCTTGAGCAAATCATAATGCCAATCATATTGATCACTTAATACATGCCACACAATTTTCTAATTCCTCTTTGTATGGAGGTAGGTTCTTTTACTGTCCCTATTTTAGGGGACAAAGCTGAGGCTCAGAGGAGGTAAGAAACTTGTCTAAACAGAGAAGTGGCAGACAGAGATTTAGACCCAGGGTTGTCTGACTCCAAAGTCTGCTTTTACTTGCTATCCTGTGCAGTGACTTCAGGTCTCTGGGCCTCTGTTGCTTCATCTATAAAATGGAGGGGGTGCATGAGAGAATCTCTGAAATTTCTTCCTGTTCTATAGGAAAATAACTATCCTATAGCTATAGACTCATTACCCTAGCCCTGGTTTGTCAGATTTCTATCTCAACCACAGCCCAGCCAGCACTTGCGTACTTAGGAGGAGCCTGGGGTCCGAAACAGGGAAGTGTCTGCCTGCTCACTCTTCGCTCCCTAAATTTTTTCCATGTAGGGAAGATATACATAAGGTGGATATTATGACGTTTTGCCAGCAGAAAGCAGCTCAGAGCTGCAAATCTGAGACACTGGGGAGCAGAGACTCGGCTCTACTGTGGCAGCTCTTGGTTCTCCTTTGTCGCCAGAATGGGGTAAGTTACTGTTTTGGTGGGAGAGCAGGTGCAGGCTGAAATTGAAGTCTTCATGGGATAGATAAGATTATGTTTATGGCATGATTATGAAAAGCAATGTTAAAGAAGCCACAAATTGCCCCAAGGGGAAAAATTGTTCAAATGTCAATGCCAGTTTGCTAATGCAAATCTTCCCTGATGATCTTCCTTGGTCTGGGAATATTGTAGTTTCTGAGTTATTGCACCAGCCAGGTAATATACCTGTGAAATTGTAAATGTTTCTGGTAAGCTTTGTGGCTCCTGACAGGCAGAAAATAACCATGATAGTGATGCTGAAGTTTGAAATATAGCAATCTAAGAAAGGACTGCCTTATGTTTGCATAATTGGACTCCTCGCGAAGAAGGCAGGCTCCCTGGTGCCTTCTTTCTCCAGCTGGGGCGGCCAGCCTGAGGACCCATAGGATTCTCCTCAGATGATCCTCTTTGCCTTACAGTCCATGGTGGGGTCTGACATTGCTGAGCTGCTAATGCAAGACTGCAAGAAGCTGGAGAAGTACAAACGGCAGCCCCCTGTGGCCAACCTCATCAGCCTGACCGATGAAGACTGGCCAGTGCTGAGCTCTGGGACCCCGAACCTGCTCACCGGAGAGATCCCCCCCAGTGTGGAGACACCTGCGCAGATCGTGGAGAAATTCACTAGACTGCTCTACTATGGAAGGAAGAAGGCAAGTATGCCCTTCGCCCAATCCCTCTCCACCAATCACCCCTGCCCCAATTATGTGAATAGTATATACTCATTTCAGGGAGGATGCGAGAAGTTCAAAAAGAAACAACAAAGAAAATAAAAACACCCACAGTTCTACCATTAAAAGACAATGAACTATTAAATGAAATAAGCCAGGTACAGAAAGACAAACATCACATGTTCTCACTTATTTGTGGGAGCTAAAAATCAAAGCAATTGAACTCATGGAGATAGAGAGTAGAAGGATGGTTACCAGAGGCTGAGAAGGGCAGTAGGGGAGGGTGGGAGGGAAGTTGGGAGGGTTAATGTGTGCCAAAAAAATAGAATGAATATGACAGTATTTTACAGCACAACAGGGGAACTACAGTCAATAATAATTTAATTATACTTTTAAAAATAACTAAAAGAGTATAATTGGATTGTTTGTAACACAAAGGATAAATGCTTGAGGGGATGGATACCCCATTTATCGTGATGTGATTATTAAACATTGCAAGCCTGTACCAAAATATCTCATATATTTTACTCCATAAATATATATACCTACTATGTACTCATAAAAATTAAAAATAAAAAAATAAAAAATTGAAAAGATTATACCTGTTAACATTTTGATGTATTTACTTCCAGCATTTTTCCATGCATATATATTAAAAAGAAAATAAAATTGCATATACAATCATTTATTTCTCTTTTTAAACTTAAGATGATATGGTAAAATACCCTCATGGCATTAAATATGCTCCAACAGCACCATTTAAAAAATAGTTATACAATATTCCATCATATTACTATTATTGAATATGTAGACTATTTACAATTTTGTCAACCATTATAAATTATATAATTTACACATCTTGTTACATGAGTCTTTGTCTGATCTTTTAAATTTTTTAGGACAGATTCCTAGAAGTGGAATTACTGGGTATATAAATGGTATGCACTTTTGAAAGGTTCTTTATATATATACCAAATTAATTTCCAGGAAGTTTGTTTACAAATACTCCTTCTGCTATATCTAAGGCTTCCTATCAATATTGAATACAGATGCTCCTCGACTTACAATGTTTATATCCCAATAAACCCATCATTAAATAGAAAATATCATAAGTTGAAAATGCATTTGGTACACCTAACCCAACATCATAACTTAGCCTAGCCTACCTCACATGTACTCAGAATGTTTACCTTAACCCACAAAATCATCTAACCCAGAGCCTGCTTTTTAATAAGGTGCTAAATATCTCATATAATTTATTGAATATGTTACTGAAAGTGAAAAACAGAATGGTTGTATGGGCACTTGAAGTACAGTTTCTACCAAATGTGTATTGATTTCACACCATTGTAAAGTCAGAAACTCATAAAGCAGGGACTGTCTGTACTTTAAACAGATGAAGATTGATTTCTAGCTCAATTTTGAGGTTGAGATTATACTTTCCAAAAGTCATAAAAATTTAAGTGTTTGGATAGATAATTAAAATCAATTTGAATCAATTTCATTCAAAAATTAAAATATAAAAAAGACATAATTGGGAAATGATGCTCCTATCCCCTAGTCACCCTATTTTTCTCTCTGAAATATCCAGAGAAATTTTATGCTTATATTGTTATTTTCTCTTTGTTAAAAAATAGCATACTGTATACCATTTCTGTACCTTCCCTTTTCCATTTTACAAAATACCTCAGAAAACACTCTATATTAGGGTTGCCAAACTTTTTCTATAATTGGACAGATGTAAAAAATGTATAATGTAAACATTTTACATTTTGCAGGCCATGGGGCCTCTAGTACAACTACTCAGCTCTGCCCTTATAGTGTGAAAGTGGTCACAGAAAATATGTAAATGAATGGGTGTGGCCGTGTTTCAGCAAACTCCATTTATAGACATAGAAATTTGAGTTACCATATAATTATAATGCATAGTGAAATTAAAAAATTTTTTTTTCCAATCACTTAAAAAGGCAGTAACTATTCTGAGGCTATGGCCTGTACCAAAATAGGCAGTGTGCTGGATTTGGCCTTTAGGCCATATTTTGCTGACTTCTGCTCTATAGCCTATATAAATACCTTTCTCATTATTTCTTACATTGGCATAGTTTTCTACTGATAAATTATAATTAATTTAACTAAACTCCATATAGCTTGACATTAAGAGTACTTCCAGTCTTCTGCAGTTACAATGTTGCAATGAATAACCACTGTCATTTTGCCCAGTGTGAGAGAATATATGTAAGATAAATTTCTAGAGGCAGAGTGTTGGGCCAAAGGATATGGTTTGTAATTTTGATAGATACTGACAAATTGCCTTTTAGAGGTTGTGCCAATTCACTCTACCAGCAATGCAAGAGAGTACCTGTTTTCCTACATTCTCACCGAAGTGTGTTTCAAACTCTTTGATAGGTGCCAATCTGAGAAGTGAAAAAAGGCTGGCGTGGTGACTCACGCCTGTAATCCCAGCACTTTGGGAGGCAGGCAGATTACTTGAGGCCAGGAGTTTCAGACCAGCCTGGGTGACATGGAGAAACCCCATCTATACAAAAAATACAAAAATTAGCCAGGCCTGGTGGCATGGCCTGTAGTCCCAGCTACTTGGGGGGCTGAGGCATAAGAATTGCTTAAACCTGGGAAGTGGAGGTTGCAGTGAGCTGAGATCATGCCACTGCACTCCAACCTGGGTGACAGAGAGAGACTGTCTCAAAAGAAAAAATTATCAGCTAATTTAAATTTTTTTTGTAGATATGGGGTCTTGCTGTGTTGCCAGGGCTGGTCTCAAACTCCTGGGCTCAAGTGATCCTCCCCCTCAACCTCCCAAAGTGTAGGGATTACAGGTGTGAGCCACCACACTAGGCCTGCATTTCTCTTATTGAAATGAATACGTTCAATTCAATTCAATTCAAAATGAATTCAATGAAGTTGAATATTTTTTAATCTGTGAATTTTTTGTCATTGATTTCCTGCATTTTTCTATTGAGTCTCTGATCCTCACTTATTGATTTGTTGGAGCTCTTTATGTTTTTAGGGCTTTCTGTGTAAAATTGTAAGTTTCTGGGGGTCATATTTAGAAAGGCTTTTTCTACTTCAAAATTAATTTATAAAAATGAAGTTGAAGTACTTTTCATTTTTACATTTAAATACTTAATTTCTTGTTTTTGTATATGATGCTATCTTTTATTTTTTTAATTGACAAAAGTTGTATATATGTATAGTATACAACATGATATATATGTGTATATATACACACACACTGTGGAATGGCTAAATGGAGCTAGTTAACATATGTGTCACATCACATATTTATCATGTTTTTTCTAATGAGAACACTTAAAATCTCCTCTCTTAGTGATTTTCAAGTATACTATACATTGGTATTTACTGCAGTCTTGATGTTCAAGTGCTACGAAACTTTTGCTAAAGAGATGAGGCTAACTGGCAACCATGTCTGACGGGAAGCTGATGGAATAGCACAGTGGATTTTGATAAAGTGAAGGCTGGTGAAGGTGACATCCTAGACAAAAACACTATGCTAGCTACAACCTGCTTCCTGGCTGTTCACATTCTTATATGAGGCTCTAAGAATTTTCTGGAAGCCCAGCCTCCGCTGCTCAGGATGCAGCAGCGCCTAAGCACAAGAACTTGTTGTGAGTGGAAGGTGGGAAAGGCACTCTTGAATGTGATGTTTTGGTTTTCAGGAAGCCTTGGAGTGGGCCATGAAGAACCACTTGTGGGGCCATGCTTTGTTCTTGTCCAGCAAGATGGACCCACGGACCTACAGCTGGGTCATGAGTGGGTGAGTTGGAACTTAACAAAAGAGACCAGTGGGGCAGAGAGGCCTCCTCACCAAAGGAGGAGGATGAGGGTGTGGGGAAACACCAGACGCACCGAGGAGCCTCCCACTCCAGGGATCTTTCCATGTTCTCTTTTCTGAGCTGGACATAGCATTTCTCTGTTTTACACACAGATACATTCTTTCTACCTGCTAAATTGAATACAGAGTTTTAGTAAAATTGCCCAGGGTGAGAGTTTCCAAAAATTAAATAGGTTTTTACATTGCAGTAGCCTTCTCTCTTTGGGAGCGGCTGTTCCAGCTAGTTCTGGTAATGAGGGGTAGGTGATCACTTCCTTAGAGCCTTGGGACTGAGGGTCTTTGACGTAAGCAGTTGTCTACTGTTTATACTTGTGATGAGGTCTGGGTACTGAGAGTAGGGTAGGGGTGTGGGGTAGCGGGGTCGTGAGCTGTGGTAGGAAAAGGAGTTTTTGCACTGGCAGTGAGATCCAGAAGTCTGCATCGGCGGCAGTGGGAGGTGTTGAGACTGAAGAGATGTGCTTAGTCAGAAATGACGTCAGCACACTGTGATCTGGGTGCCAACGTGGACCAGGAAAAATGCCCAAACCAGGATGAGCTAGGGATGGAAGCAAGGGTCCATAGCCAGGAGTTTGGAATAAGGAGATGAAACAGAGTGAAAGAAAGCCAGGATCAAATAGGGGTGCTGGATGGAGAAGGCTTTCTGAATAAGTCCTTCAGGCTCCTCCTAGCATCCACGGGTTGGCAGGGACAAATGTGGTGGGTGGGGTGAGGGACCCTCCTGTAAGGGGCAGACTTGGGTCAGACAGCAAGAAAGATGCTACCTCAAAGTGTTGAGCTTCTAGTGCTGGTTAGAGCTGTGAAGGAAGCTATCCTCTCAGCTGAACTTACATTTGAATTGGCCGTAAATCCTGTTGGGCAGAGGTTGAATTAGAAGATGACACTTCCGTCGGCATGGTGGCTCACGCCTGTAATCCCAGCACTTTGGGTGGCCGAGGTGGGTGGATCACTTGAGGTCAGGAATCTGAGACCAGCCTGGCCAACATGGTGAAACCCCATCTCTGCTAAAAATACAAATATTAGCTGGACATGGTGGCGGGCGCCTGTAATTCCAGCTACTCTGGAAGCTGAGGCAGGAGAATCGCTTGAACCTGGGAGGCGGTGGTTGCAGTGAGCAGAGATCACATCATTGCACTCCAGCCTGGGCAACAAGAGCAAAACTGCATCTCAAAAAAACAAACAAACCAACAAACAAAAACACTTAACACTTCCATGTTAAGTTCAGTCTGAGGGCCTAATGACTGCACCACCGGAGGGCCCATTCTGGATGATGGCCTCGGTTGCGTCTCGTGACGACTCCACCCTTCAGTCTTCCTGGAGACTGGAATGGTGAGGAACACAGAAGTTGTATTATGATACATGCTTGGAGTTCCGGTGGCAAGGGTGCTGTTAAATAAAGGACGGTGTTCTGAGCATGATTTTCCTTTGGGCTTTGAAAACGAACATCCCACAGCCCCACATTGTAGCATACATCTCTGCTACAGATTTTTGCCTTGGGCCATTGATTTTTGATGGAGCCCAGTGAATTGTGAAAAATACCTCTCACTGAGTAAGCTTAAATCTCAAATCAGCTGTAGAGCTTATTATATCCTTGTTAAGCATATCCCATGGTTTGTCATCAGCAGGATCATTTCTGGCCCCTGTTCCACGCCTCTTTGGTTACTGAAAATGGCTATTTAGTGCTTGTGAGCAAAAGCACTACAGACCCAGGCTCTTGATGAGCCAGAAAAACGGCACTGAGTGCCGTGGGCTTGGTGTGGAGGAGGGCTGCAGGGAGTGGGAGATCGGGGTGGCTGGGAAGGGGGTGCCTATGGAGAAAAGCTTCCAGATAAACTGCTGTGGCTCTCCAGGGGACCTTTGAGATGTCAATGGGTCATCTCAGTGATGGAAGAAGGCCCACAGAAATGGTTATTCCAGAGTTAGGCCATTAAGACCAAGGTGCAGAAAATACCCCCAACAATGAGATCTAGCTGGGGTGTGCGGTAGATCGAGGACCCTGCCATCTCTCCTCAAAGGAGGATGTGACAGAGGCACGGCAGAAAGTAAAGAGATGTTCACGTTCCTAAGGAAGCTGCCAAAATCTGATAAAATTAGGTGAGGCCCTGAGCCTTGTGGGCAGTGGGTAAAGAGGTTCCCTGGGCGTGGTCCTCACTGACTATCCTTCTCTCTGCAGCTTCACCAGCACGCTGGCGCTCAATGACCCACTGCAGACCCTATTCCAGCTCATGTCGGGGAGGATTCCACAGGCAGCCACGGTACCCCTGTGACAGGATTCCTTTACCACCCTGGCATCCCGAGGGCTTGAGGGGGTGGGGACTGCTCAGGAGTGTGATGGCTTTCAGGAGCAAACGTGATGATAATATTAATAGTTTGTTAATCACTTACCATGTGCTGGGCCCTGTGCTAAGTGCTTTGATGCATATTACTTGGTTTAATGCATAGAGGTAGGAAATATTCTCTCTGCTTTGCAGATGTGGAAACTGAGCTGCAAAGGTGTAAGATGACCCAAGGTCAGAGATAGTGAGTGGTGGGCTCAGGATCTGTCTAGGTCTGTCTGACTCTGAAGACCTTGGCCTTCCCAAAATGTCAAAGCTGCCTGCTCTTGTGTGAATGGCAAGAGGACCTGTGCCTGTTCTTCAGGCTTCCCCTGGCAGGGCTGCCCTTCTTTTTCTCTGGAGGAATGCTCCCCACCACTGCACACTGGCACTTCGAAGCTGGACATACTCGATTTCAGTGTTCTAGAGTTGATATGGCTGACAGTCTGAGGCCAGCTTGATAGTTTTCCCATTATAGGAGACTTGATCTTTTGGCCCCAAAGTATTCCTTCCTTACCTTTGATGTCCAGTCACTTTACTAGATTATGCCCTGGTGTTGACTGTCTGGATCCATTTTTTTCCTTGGGGTATATATAGCATGTCCTTTTAATATGTACATTCATATGTTAGAGTTCAGGAATATTTTCTTGGATTATATCCGTCAATATTTGTTTTGTTCCCATTATTTTGGTTACCTTTTCAGGAATTCCATGTACACATATTTCATATGTATACATATATGAATTATACTTATAATTTTCTCTTTAATAATTTTTTATTCTCTTCTTTCCTCTCTTGCCCGCCCTTCCTGCCTTCCCTCCCTCCCTCCCTCCCTCCCTCCGTCCCTCCCTTCCTCCCTCCCTCTGTCCCTCCCTCCCTCCCTTCCTTCCTTCCTTCCTTCCTGCCTCCCTGCCTCCCTCCCTCCCTTCCTCCTTCCCTGTTTCCTTCCTTTCTTTTTTCCTTCCTCTGTCCTTTACTGTGTTTTCACCGGTGTCTCTTGCTTTTGTGCTCTGGTGTTTCTGTCTATTTCTTCAATTTCCCCCTACTTTTTTCCTGAGCTCTGCACATTACATTCATCTCCTGTTATCCACCATCTATTTCCTGGGCTCTTATAACTCAGATTATGCTCTTGCTTCACAGACGCAATTGTTTCATTATTTTACTTAAATTCACGACAAAATGTTTGGTGACAATTTTTCATTTGTTTTGTGGTAACGTTTTTGTAGTGAATGTTCTCTCTCCCCTCTATTTTTCATGTTACCTTCCTCCTTCTGTCTTAGGGTTTATTTGTATACATTCTGTGCTTGCTTTCTCATATTACATAACTTTAAAGGAGTTGAATCTTTCCTGGGTTTATATTTCCAGTTATTTATATTAGGTTCGTGCAGAGGATGGGCCAGGCCATATTCCAGGCCATCTGGCATTTTCTGCAGGACCCAGAGTTTTCTGTGTGAGCCTGAGTTGCCTTTGCCACTCTCCAGCTGGTGGGGAGAGCTGTGGGGTCCTCTCCCTTGTGTTCTCTCGGCTTCCCCATGGAGGGACCTCTGTCCAATCGCCATTACTTTTGGTAGCCTTTTCTCATATCTTGAGGCTTGGGTTTTGGTGAACACTAGTTTTAATAAAAATTGACCTCACGCTTTTCCTTTTTCTTTTTTTTATCCTTCTTATTGCTTGTGGCTAATTCCAAGAAAAGAGAAATGATTTTCATGCCCCGTCATCAAATCAACCGGCTATTTTGTAGCACAGAGTGTGCCTCACAATTCAGTGGAATGGCCTGTGCTCCACAATGGAACTGCATTATGTCACGAAGCACTAAATGCAGGAAGTGATACAATTAGCTATGGTTCATTGTGTGTGTGTGTGTGTGTGTGTGTTTTTTTTTGTAATAGTAGAGTTAGCTAAATTTCCCCTATTTTTAGATGAGAGAACGGAGGAGCCAGAGGTGACGTGTCAATGCATTATTTGATCTTAGGGAGTTTCCCAGCACTTCAGCATGTACTAAAAGGCTGGATTTCAGTTTCATGTGATGAATGGGGTGGTGGAAAAGCACGGCAACAGGACAACACAGATGTGGGTTTCACACCAGTTTAACCTAGACTCTATGTACGCCTTTCTGCCAGGTGAACTTGGCTTTGTTTCTTAATCTCACAGAGCCTGTTTTTAATCTTTATTGGGATTTTGGTTCCTAACCAGTAGAGTTATTGTGAAAATCAAAGGAGAGAGAACATCTGAACATAACAACCATCATGCTTGGCCCATTGACGTTAATTAATAAATGTTGGTGCTTTATCTCTCTCTCTCTCTCTCTCCTGTGTCCCCTCCACCTCTCCATTGATCTGATTCATAGTGATCTTTTTCAAATCACCAGCGAGGAGACAGAATAATGACCTCTAAGTTTTTCTTTGTGTGTGTGTGTGTTTAGCAAGGATTTCCTTCTCTTTTGCTGATTTCTGTAGATCAGCAAGAAGCAGCTTGGCTTACATGTTAAAATGAAGGTCATAATAGGACTTAGCACATGTGATTGTTGGTAGGGGAAACGCTTAGCACAGGATATGGTTCATGGTTCGATGTGACACATGAGAACTGCTATTATTATGATTTATCATCACCATCATTGTCATCATCCTCTTCACACTGCATTGACTGGATCAACAAGGAGTGGGTGTAAAATGGAGTTGAATAAAGCATCTTTTATTCCCTGGGATAATTACAAAGACCAAGTAATTATGAATGGTTTTAACCTCCAAATCTTAGTTATTATTGGCAATCTCCTGCCCTACCTATCTATATAACAAATCGGAAGGTAGGCAGCTGTGCAAATCACCTCTTTCCTCTGCTCAGCTTCCAACTGTGTGTGTGTGTATGTGTGTATGTATTTATACCTACATGTAATTAAGTGCAAACCAAACGTGAAGCACCATGCGATGTGCTTTACACAACTATCTTATTTTATTATCAACAATAACCTGTTAGGTGGAAATTATGATCTCCATTTTAGGGATGAGAAAACAAAGGTTCAGAGACATTAAGAAACTTGCTCAAGGTAAGTAAGCTAGTAAGATGCAGGACTCGAGTTGGGACCTGTGTTGTTTCCATGACGTTATGTTGTTTCTTTATTGATATTTTCTGCCTTGAAATTCTCCTTTGTTTAGTAGGACAGCCTTAGGGAGAGATGGTAGGGAAAACACCATTTATGCGGGGTTTTGTACATTTCCACCACGCTGCTTACTCTCTGTTGCCCCCTGGTGGAATTCTGCTGCCTCTGCATTGTCCTAGCTGGGACACTTGGCTTGATTTTCTTATTCCTAAAGTGGTAATAGGAACCGGACTTCATAGGGTTGCTGTAAAGATTAAATAAGAGGATGTGTGTGAATGGGCTTTGTAAAGTCAGAAAACATAGGTATTTGTAAGACATTAAGCAGGCCCGTGTTCCCCTGACTTCTGTGACAGGCTGTGGCCTCTTCTACTCATGAGCCAAGGATGTTTGATCTTGAACCAAAAAAACCACTGAAGCCTCAGGGTTTTTCTGAGTTTTATCTCTAGCTATTTGGGGGTCAGGCACTGGGGAGAAACGTGAAAAGTAGTAAGCGAGCAATGTCATTTTATTTATCCATTTTCCAATATCCCTGTGAATGCATGTATGTATGCATGTATATGTATCTGTCTATCTGTGTCCTTCTGAGAGTTTTACCTTTTTAAAGATGAGAACTCTAAATCAATGAATGGCAACATTGCAGGTGGTGGAGTGGGCGTTCTCTCACAGCTTCTGAACCAGGAAATAGACAACAGCCTTCTTTACGTACATCTGGCCATTCCTAAATGATTGTACATTTAAGTTATTTTTTTCTGGTGCTTTTCAGTGTTGTGGAGAAAAGCAGTGGGGAGACTGGAGGCCTCACTTGGCTGTGATTCTGTCAAATCAGGCTGGGGACCCGGAGCTGTATCAGCGTGCGATTGTTGCCATGGGTGACACTCTGGGTAAGCGATACCAGCGTTGACCTGCCCCTCCCCTCCCCTCCCCTCCCCTTCCCTTCCGTCCCCTACCTTCCCCAACTCCTCCCTGTCCAGACCAGCTTTAAACATCCTGCTCTTAGATTCTCAGATTCTAGCTAGGGCCAGAGTCTATGCCCCAGGCTTTTCCTGGACCCAGGAGCCTCCGTGTTTTGGGGAAAGTAACTCCAGGGTAATGCATGTCCTTCTTGTCTCTCTGTTTCACAGAATTTCTGCGGTGAGTGAATGCAGGCCAGGCCCCTGAGCCTTGGTGTTCTGCTGCTGTAGGAGTCTGCTCTCAGCAGCTGATTTTTCTAGCCCTGGGTCAGATTCCCCTGTGGATGGAGTTAACACATAGGACACCTTGCCTCCTGTTGCTGTAAATTTCTCAGTGACCCAGTTCAATCAGATAGGAAATTCTGTTTTTGCCTGAACCACTCTAGGTTAACCCTGTAGTCTTTCTTTCTATTATCTCTCTGTGAATGTGGCCTTATAAACACTTAGGGGCTATTGAATGTTCCAGACCAGTGGTTCTCAAATTTAGCCAAGAAGCAGAGCATCTAGAAATCATGGTGCTCCTATGGGGCTTTTAAAAATACTGCTCTGTTAGACTTAAATAGCTATGGTAAGGTTGTGCCAAGTCATAGGGAGACCACGCAGCACCCTGAGTAGAAGGGAACTAATGTTTGTTGAACCCTTCTTGGGGGCCAGACACTGTGCTAGGTATTGTATCTAGTTGAATTAACTCAATTTTGAGGCAGTGGAAAATGTATGGGAGAACATTTCAAAACATGTTGGTAATTAATGTGATTTTTATGTTTGACTTTAGCAGGGAAAACAATGGTGCCCCAGGAAGCCTAGTTTAAGAATGGCGACTCCCGGTAGTCTCCTTCTTTGCTCAGGTGCAGGCATTTCAAACTCCTTTTTCACCCTCAGGAAAGACTAAAATGTTCAGAGAATTCCTCATCAAAAATCCTTTAGGGGCCGGGCGCGGTGGCTCAAGCCTGTAATCCCAGCACTTTGGGAGGCCGAGACGGGCGGATCAC